AGATTCCTTAGAGATTCTCATTTACATGGTGTGTTGTGGGACCCGGACATGGGTTGTTTTTTAAAATCTCCTTAGGTGGGCCGGCCCGGTGGCGCACTGGAGAGTGCGCTGCTTGGGAGTGTGGCGGCGCTCCCGCCGAGGGTTCGGATCCCATGTGGAGACCGGTTCCTGCTCACTGGCTGAGCGCGGTGCGGGCTCAACACCAAGGGTTGCGATCCCGTTGCTGCTCACTGGCTGAGCGCGGTGTGGGCGCAACACCGAGGGTTGCGATCCCGTTGCCGGTTCCCAGAACGGGCGCGACACTGAGGGTTGCGATCCTGTTACCGGTCAGTAAAAAAGACAAAAAGGAAAAAAAAAATCTCCTTAGGAAAGTTTAAACTACCAGAGGGTGTAACACCAGTGCTTTATATATTCAAACAGGCTAAAGAAAACCCCCACTTTGTACATGTGTCAGAATTTCCTCTTTTTAAGGCTGAATAATATTTCATTGTATGGATAGACCACATTTTTTTAGTTCATTCATTCATTGATGGACACCTGAGTTGCTTCCACCTTTCAGTTTCCATCAATAATGCTATGAACGTGGGTGTGAAAATATCTTTTCAAGACCCAGCATTCACTTCTTTTGGATATGTACCCAGGAGTGGAATTGCTGGATTATATGCTCCTTCTACATTGAATTTTTTGAGGAATCCCTACCTGTTTTCCACAGCACCATTTTACATACCCATCCACAGTGCAAACAGGTTCCAATTCCTCTGCGTGCTCATCAACACGTTATATTTACTGGGTTTTGTTTTGTCTTTCGATAGCGTTGGAATGTGCGTGAGGTAGTGGGATAGAGCAGTTTTGAATCAGTGGGTGATGCTGTCTCCAGAAACTGGATCCCAACCATATAATATATAATAGCACTAGGGCAGGGCTTTGATCTGTTGTTGTTGTTATTATTATTATTATTATTATTATTTTAAAAGATGACCAGTGGATCTCAGCCCTTGGCTTGGTGTTGTCAGCACCACGCTCAGCCAGTGAATCAACCGGCCATCCCTATATGGGATCCGAACCCGTGGCCTTGGTGTTGTCAGCACCGCGTTCTCCCAAGTGAGCCATGGGCCGGCCGTGTTCTGTTATTATTTTAAATCCAGATCATCCCCCCCTGCCCAGGAAACATCACTAAATCTGCGTTTAATTGTTTTGCCTCCTTTTTCTTCCCAGTTCAGTGAAGCCACACGTGTATTTTCCACTAAAGTAACTTTGTTGTTCCAAGTAGTATGTCAAAGAGTGCCCTGTAAAGGGGGAGAATTTATAAGAACTTGGATTTAGAGAAATTTCCTCTTTCCTCAAGGATAATTGTTAAAATTTCTTAATCTTAGATTCAGGCATGTGTGGCGATCGGTGTCGAAGTTTAAAAAGAAGGGGAAAGCACAGTGAAATGCAGCTGGATGCTGCCAATTCATTTAAAATACCACGACTCTTCCTTTCCAAACAGAAGGCTTTTAAGCCACTTTAGAAGTTGCTCCACGTTTCCTACCCTTGTGCCCTATAAGATTTTGCATAAACTGAAATTTTAATTCCTTTGTTCACTTAGCAGCCACCGTTTTTATAAACTGATGTCTCACACACACTGTGGGTGTTGTTTTTGGTGAGGTTTGGCTCAGCTGCACCCAGAAACTGCCACCTCCCACAAAACCAGCACTCCTGCTGGGCCCCCCTCAGAATTAAAGCCAGGCGTCTGGAGGAAATCTCCAGTGCGTCTGTCACTTGCACATGGTAGTTCTCAGCTCCTGGGCATCTGGAGGATGAAGTGAACTAACCCAGTTAAGGGTCACAAACCAACTCAAGGGTGGCATGCGGGTTTCATTTCAAGGGTTGGCTTAGAATTGGGGAGATGTGTAAGTGCTTCAAGGCCTGGGGAAGTGTCACCTGGAGGGACAGAGATGGACATGCAAGGGAAAGAGGGACAGAGGGATGCATGGTCCTGAGACCAAAAGGGAGGGAGGGACAGGTGGGTGGGTGGGATCAGCAGAGTGGAAAAGGTTGGCGCAGGACCAGTGGGGCCCTGGGGAGGAGCGCTGGAGGGGAAGCTGAGATGATCAGGGAGCAGTGGGACCCCGCTGCCATCAGGCAACTTGAACAGTGAGGTCTGGAGCTTCTCTGCCAGCAGCACTGAGCAGTTTCCAGCAAGTCTGGTGGCCTGAGCAGCCACGGAAGGGCAGCCTGTGCCTGGATGACGTGGACTCCACTCTGAGTTCAAGTCCTCAGCCCTCCCTCCCGCCTGCCTGTGTCCCACAGACGTGTGGTGTCAGCTCTGTCCCGGGCATGTGCTGATCCCAGGGCACAGCGTGGACGGGGTTCCTCACCCTCCAGTCTATTGTTCAGTGTGGAAGAGACTCCAGACCCCATGGAACAAGTGCCCTGTGGGGTGGCACAGGCAGACAGGATGCCACAGGGACACCTAGGGCACAGACCCCAGGCTGGGGGTTTGGAGAAGGTGCCCTAGAGGAAGCGACATCTGAGCAGAGGCCTTACGACAAGGGAACAGACGCTGGACTCCAGGGCTGGCCAGGGCAGCGCTGCAGGCCGACACAGCCACCTGGTGTCCTCGAGCCACCTCCACGGGTAGAAGTCAGCTTTCACGGCCACCTCTGTGCTACAGCGTCTTCACAGTCACTGTTCCTCTGCTTGCTGGATCTTGTCCTCACGCGGCCCTCGGAGCCCCTGACCTTCCTGCAGCGTGTGATGCCGCCACCTCCTCTATGACCTCTGTCCCCTGCTTTCTCTCTCATCCCTTCCTCTGCCACCAAAGCGTAGGCGTTTGGGTCCTCATGGCGGTTGTGGCCTCACGGCTGGCTCTGCCCTGCCGATCTCTCTCTCGTAACCACTTCGGCACCCACGTTTCTATCCCCCACCCTGGCCTCCCTGAGGGACTAGTCCCACATTTTCAGTTCAAGCTCGTTGACAGTGACCTTATTGTCGTATCTGTCACGTCTTCAGGACCGGCTCTTCATTTCACCTCCCTTCCCTCATCCTCTAGTGACTTTACCTCCAGAGTGACACTTGCTGTATCCCCTCTGCTCCCAAATGAGCTGTGTGGGGTCTCATTGCCCGTGAGTCAGTCCTGCCTCCCCTGCCTGTCACCTGTGGCCTCCACACCATCCCTGACCCCATGTGTCCTGCCCTCTGCAGCCAGGTGGCTATTTCCTGCTCCTGGACATCTCTGAGGATGTCCCTCTGCTTCTGACAAGAGCCCCTTAGTGGCTCCCCATTGTCTGTGAAATGAAGTCCACGCCTGGGACAGGCCTCAGTCTATTTCCTGTCTCTTTCCCTTCTTGCCCCTCTGGTTGCCTTTGCCAAAGACAGAATGGCCCAGAGGGGCCCCGAGCTTTCCCAGGTCCTTGTCAGCTCATAAGGGCCTCTGGCAAAATGCCCCTTCCTCCCAAATCCCCGTTCCCCAGATCCCCAGCAGGGCCCATCTCAGACATCTGCGTCCAGGAAAGTGCCTCTGATTCATGTTGGAAGAAACCTGTCTCTGTGACTTTATCTGCACCTCCCTGTTGGAAATCACCATCCTCTGCATTTTAGTTATTCGCATGGTCCCCGTGTCCCCAGCGTATCTGAGGGCAGGCCTTGGGTCAAGGGTGCAGGCCCTTTTATCTTTGCATGAAGGTTCTAGTGTGGGGCTTGTACCTATTAACTGCTCAATACATAGGCATTGAATAAAGGTGTGTGTGTGGTTTCAGTAAGACCATAAAAACCACAAAAATTAGTCTTTGGGGATTTTACTCTTATAAAAGTAGCACAGCCTCATAATCAGAGCCAAGAGGTCGTAGATATTAATCTAACCCCTGTCTTCATCAGCCTTCAGGAGTAATTCTGAATTATGCCCCCTGTCCATGTCACAGGAATGATTCTGGCCAGACATTGACTTTAGTAAAATTTCCTCCAGATTATGAGCAGTCACATCTAATACCCCCCCGTAACATGGCTTTACTTGTAGAAAAGTTCACGTTTTAGCAGGGACCTCAAATACCCCGCAATCTGTCAAGTCCTAACGTTTGTGTCTCTTGACACTACCCGAGATTCCTGTCTCTGTTTCCCCAGCCCAAGTTTCCAACTCAGGGAGCAGAACCACGTGTGTGTTGACAAAAGAACATACAGACCTGCCCGATCCTGCTGGAGCTTTGCAGATGTGAAGAGACAGGCCTGCACATGACCTCGGCAGTGATGAGTCGTGGCCCTACCTAGGAGGGGCTGCTGGGTTTAGCCCTTGTAGAAGTCAACGGTAGCACAGGCAGAGATTTCTGTTCCTTCTGAGATTTCCTATAACTCTCACATGCATACTCTGTCTCTCTGTCTCTCTGTCTCTCTCACACACACACACACACACACACACACACCCAAGAAGATCAGAGTAAGTCCCTTATATCATATATACCATAGTTTGGTTGTAAAAATAGCGTCCTAGTCAGATAAGCAGAAACACAATGACCTCTCAAGAAATTTGGACACTGCTCTTTACAGTTTGTTTTAGCTGTTTTGCAATATATGCTTAAATAAATAAGTAAAACACATAGGGAAAGAATTGTAACCTAGACTGACAAGCCCAACAAAAAGCAGGTAGGAAATAAAATAAGAAACATAACCCACCGTGTAAAATAGAAGTGATACAATAGCACGTTGTCGTGTGTGTTGATCCATTTTTTTTTAAAGTAGGGACACTAATGCATTTAACAAATGTTTACTGGACATCTGCTGTGTGGCGGGTACTGTTCTGGCACGGGGGACCCAGCACAGGGAGCTAACAAACCAAAGCCCCTGCCCTCAAGGAGCTTATATTCTAGAGGGAGATGCACGGCTCACCACCCACTGAAATACCATTCTTAAGAGCCATCACCCCCCACCAGAAGGTTTTGCTGGAAATTGAACAAAACTGGAAAATTGATAATATCTCCATTTGCATATGGGTATGATTTTAATGAAGGTTGCTTTTTGGTTTTTAGGGAGAAGAAAATGACTTTGCAGACAGTACTGGAGATCCCCTTCCAGGTAAATGATTGACTCTAAAGATTTCTGGGCTGCCGTGATAACTAGCGTGGCTCAACTAAAGATAATTTGAGAACACGTTTGTCATTAACTTTTAAAATCTGTATCACAGCATAGAGCAAGGAAAGCCATGTCTCACTAAATTTCACCAAAGCCTCTCAAGAGTATTTTCTCTGAGCTTTGCATGTCTGGGCACAGCAGGGTTCTGAATGGGGCAGGTTTAGGATTGGGCTGGGGTCAGGCCCCAGTGGGTCCCCTGTCCCTCCCTCCTGCCCTCTGAGTTCTGAGAGCTGCAATCTTGGTGGATGTCACTGTTTCCTGATGGAAGACAGTGGTCACTCTGGGACTTGGGCAGACCAGGCCTGGGTGGGCAGGGCTGGCAGGGCCATCTCTGTTCCCACTTTGTCCCTGTCCCTCAGGCACCTGACCGTAGGTTATCCCCACCCCACTCCTTTTCTGTATTTAGTGTGTTTAACCAAAGCAACATTGAGGTTTATTTCTCTACCCTCCCCTTTTTTGGTATTAAGACAGACACTGGGGCAATGTTAAAGGTTTCTTATTCATGAATCATGGGGAAGTTACGGAGTGAGCACTAAAAAACTACCAAAATAACAATTTTTTTAAAACCCCAACATTTTCTATATCTTTTAAAACACATATGGAATGACCTGAGTCATCCAAGTTTGGTTTCCATCTTTCTTTTTTAAGGGGGGTGGGGGACCCATAAAACCCTCAGGGACAGCTCTGGTCAGCCCGGGCAACCAGGCTGAAAATCAGAACATGCAGTGTGTACTCAACTTTTTTTTTCTCTTAGAAACATGATGTTAGAAAATACACCACCATGTTAGAAGCAGTTATCTCTGGGTGGTGAGATTCTAGGTGATTTTTCTTTCATTCAACAGATTTTTATTAAGGACCCCCCGTGTGCCAGCCTCTCTCAGGAGGCCATGCAGCAAAAGCACAGCTCTGGGAGGCATGAGCTGGGGCTCTGGCTCTGGTCTGGCCCCCACGTAGCTGTGATAAGAGAAGTTGAGGAGGAGATCAGGCCAGATGAGTCTCAGGTAGATCCTTCCCACTGGGCTTCATAGGACAAGCCCAGTGCCCAGGGACCCATCAGGACACCCCACGGGGACTTGCTTTTTGTGGACCACACCCACCCCCAACCAGAGGCCTGGGCCCCTGGCTGGTAGGAATCTCTCTTCTGCAAATGCTGCAGCAGACACAGGCTCGGATTAGAAGCCCCGGCTGCAGGACATCGGGGAACGCAGCACATCTCTACACACAGGCAGAGGCGATTTTAATTTTCTTCCTGCGGTCTTATATTTCTAAAATTTCTAACATGAGTAGGTATCAGACCCCCCTCCCATTTCATCTGTAAGTACAAATCATATATAACCAATGATCATGGTAAAGTAACCAAGGAGATCTCTAGAAGGTTAACTGGGATTGGCCTGGGTACTGGGAGCATGAATTTTTTCCATATGCACATCTGAATTTTCAGATTTTCTGTGACAAGCACGTATTTCTTTCATAATAAAAAAAACTATATTTAAACTTTTGAAAGATAAACATCCCACACATTACTGTGGCATGGTAAGTAAAATAAAAATGCATATAGTAGAAATGTATTTAGGAATATTTATCAGCCCATCAAGGACTCTTAGGAGTTAGGTGCATTATTAATGAATAGATCAACTTTAAGCAAGCTTCTGGTTGTCTCCAGATATTTTTACTTGTGTCACAATGAGAGAGAAGAGTTTCAAAGAGAATAAACTTTACAATAGCGGGGCAAATGCTGGCATGTCGAGGACTGTGCGGGGCTGTCTTAGCAGAAATTGTGCTGCTCGGGCCAGTATTTTCAGCACCTCGCATGGTGCTTGGCTCATGAGAGCATTCGGGTGTTTTGTTTTCCATAAACAAATCGTTGAGAGATAATTGACTTAACTGGCTCTGCTCTCAGGCAGAAGCAGATTCATATATTTTACCTTTGAATTAGGGTAGCAGCTTGAGTA